TCATGAAGGACTCAAATTTGAAATTTCCGTGACTGGTACATAATTTTCCCCCTCATCTTACACATTTATAATTAATTTGTTTCTAGGTTGCAAGTTGGGGAGGAGATCTACTGGATCGTGGGATTCTAACAGTTTCCCTTGCCCCAAGGGATAATCATGAAGCTCAAGTCCAGTTTGCACTTGAGCGTGGGATACCTGCAATTCTTGGCATTATCTCTACACAGCGTCTTCCTTTCCCTTCAAATTCATTTGATATGGCTCATTGCTCAAGGTGCCTTATACCATGGACAGAATTTGGTAAGTAAATTATCTTAAAATTGGGTGAATCCAGATATTTTGCATTAATAAATTCATGCTTTCCTATTTATGAGGTAGATTTATGATAAGTAATTCCCTGATTTCGAGATGATATCTTTGTTTCATAAAATCTAAATAGCATTGGCGCTCAAATGTACTCGACTTCATACTGATTTTGCTTTATTGTTCATAACCATTTTGCATGTTCATCTGTTTGTATGACAATTTTGAGAAATGACATTTCTATTTTTAGGTGGAATATATCTACTAGAGGTTCACCGCATACTCCGTCCTGGTGGTTTCTGGGTCCTTTCTGGACCTCCAGTGAATTACGAGCATCGTTGGCGTGGGTGGAACACTACCGTGGAAGAGCAGAAGGCGGATTATGAGAAATTGCAGGAACTTCTGACTGCAATGTGCTTTGAATTTTATGGGAAAAAGGATGATATTGCTGTATGGCGGAAAGCTTCTGATGACAGTTGCTACAAGAAAATTGCCAGTGATCCAGATGTCTATCCACCCAGGTGTGATGATAGTCTGGAACCAGATTCTGCATGGTACACTCCACTCCGACCATGTGTTGTTGTTCCAAGCCCCAAAGTTAAGCAATCAGCCTTAGGATCTATCTCTAAGTGGCCAGAGCGTTTACATGTTGCACCTGAACGCATTTCTGACATTCATGGTGGGAATGCTAACACTTTCAAGCATGATGATAGCAAGTGGAAGGTGCGAGCAAAGCAATACAAGAAGTTACTTCCTGCTATTGGGACTGATAAGATAAGAAATGTAATGGATATGAATACAGTTTATGGAGGCTTTGCTGCAGCGCTAGTTAATGATCCCTTGTGGGTTATGAATGTGGTCTCTTCCTATGCTGCAAATACTCTTCCTGTGGTCTACGACAGGGGCCTTATTGGAACTTTCCATGACTGGTAATCTTGATGCTCCTTCGTAGGCTTTGAATCTTTGATTCTGCAGTAGATGCTGGATCCAATATGTTTTAAGTTTATATTATGTCTGTTTATTGTTTGTAGGTGTGAAGCATTCTCAACATATCCTCGAACTTATGATCTCCTTCATCTTGATGGCCTGTTTACTGCAGAGAACCATCGGTAAGACTCTGTTCTTAATTTCTCTTTTATTGCCTTACTGGTATCAGAGTCTCTGTCCATCCTTCACTATGGAGAATTGGTTCAATCTGGCATTCAAATTGGGAGGATACTTTCAAAACTATGATTATTTCTGTGTACTTTGCCATGAATCTTACCTTGATTTGTGCAAGTTGAAAGTTACCTGAATAAGTAGTGATGTGATTTCTCTTGCTTTGGTAAACTAGAAAATAATAACAAAATCAAAGCTGACCAACCATTTATTGTAAAGTTCAAAGAAGAAAATCTTAGATTTATAATTCTGAGGACTTAGAATTCAGTACAGTCAGACCTGCCATATTTCCTTTCAGGAAGAAGATCATTTCATGGTCTTGGTTTGACTTTTGGTACATTTGGATGGAACTTATGTCAGCTTGACATACTAAATTGCAGCTATAGTACAGTCGGCTGATAGTATTCTATGTGTGTGTGTATATATTATATATCTTTCTTGCAGTCACCTTGACTTACCAAATACCGCGTAGTTTGACAATAAGAACCTTCAATGTCTAATCAATTATTGACCTTATTATATTGCTAGAATACCAGAAAGCAAACCAAGTGCCTCATGTATATTAGATTATGATGCTGGTTGCCAAACGGAAACCGTTACTGGCTACCAGCGTTTTTTATTAATTCTGAATGGTGGGTGCTTGTATCTTTACACAGATGCGATATGAAGCATGTGCTTTTGGAGATGGACCGGATCCTGCGTCCCAGCGGGTATGCAATCATACGGGAATCCAGCTATTTTAGTGATTCTGTTGCTACCATAGCCAAGGGAATGAGGTGGACCTGCCGGAAAGAAGACACTAAATATGTGGTTGAGAAAGAGAAATTATTGATTTGCCAGAAAAAGCTGTGGTACTCGAATCGGAGTTCAAGATGACTTGGCAAGGCTGCTGTTATAGTATCTTAGTTGATGATTCCAGATCCAAAATCAGGGAGAGAAGCCGGATGCTGCACATAAAGATTAGTTTGTTTCAAAGTTCAAATTCAGATATATCAATTGAAGAATTAGGTACAAAATAAATGTACTTTTTGATAAGTATAGCTCATAAATATATTCTTTATAACATGTTACAGATTCTTGGGGCTGTAACTTCCAATTTTTCTACTTGTCTCAATTCTTTATGTTTTGTTGTAACTGGTATTCAAATGATGGGTGAGTATTACAGTGTAAGCAATTTTAAAAGTTGAATGAATATTTATTTTCCTTTCTTCAATTTCCCATAATGTTTACTTCCTTGTTTATACAATTGGAATTTTTTGTAATATATATATATATTTCCAGAATAAAATCTATATGTAATGATTGATCCTCATCAATGATTAGAAAGATTAGGCATTAATAGTGTTATTATACTCAAACTCAATCTTTAAGGAAAAGCATTGTATTAAAAGAAATGGTACCTTTTTCTCTAACGTACATATATCTTATGACCCATTGGAAGATCTTTATATTAACATAGAAGGTTTGTCTCTTACTAAAAAATCAAATTCAACTTACTGAGTTTTGGTCTAAAGGATGATTTTATATTATTAATAATAATAATATTAGGCTTATTTTATTGTTATCGGTTTTACTAATTTAATTAAGTAGTTAAGGTTATTTTTTGAATTATTTTTTCCGTAAAACATTCA